AACGAATAAATGCTACACGAAGCATAGACACATTTGGTAGTATTATTATAAAACTAAGTTTATATGTCAACCAAATACATGATGAAAAGACCAACTTCAACCATAATTTTCCTGTTTTTATTACCCAAAACTGTCAATAGTTTAAAATATTAAGTAATTTGTTTTACTAACTTCCTCACTAATTGCCTATTATTGTTTTTATAAGACTTATACACATAAAGTTTTAAGATTGCATATGGCTCTTTAAAGGACAAATTTTGGCTGCAATCATTTGCTACTAGAGGGCGCTGTCATTCTAGTATGTCCGCCTGATTGGCAGTCGAAGGTTCAGTGTCTATGTAATCACTCGTTCGCTTTTTGTGCATTTTATCTGGAAATATTAAACAGTTTTAAATATAATTTTGTCACTTTAAATTTCAGAATATTGAAACGTCAGATAAATAGCTTGTCATGATATAAAAGACTGTTTAGTTTAGATATTATTGAATAATATAATTTTGTGAATGAATATTTTGTTATTGTTTAGTGTTTGTTATAACAAGAATTAAAATCAGACGATTGTATAAAGTTGTGTTCATAAGTCATTGATGTTGAGATTATCGAACTTCACGTGCAATACATTAACGTCGAGAATATAGAGATTTCTAGAAGGCGGACAGACGATTAAGTGATAAACATACAAATAGTGTGAGACGAGCAGAAACAGCAGATAGACGATAGCAGAAGGGATTAAAGTTACGGCCAAGGAAAAGTTCGACGTGAAGTTAACTACCGTAGAAGTGATAGGCCTAACGATTGACATAGGCTTAACTTTTTACTATGTTAGAGTAAGACTAACAGTAGAAAAGGAGATAAGAATAATAATTTATTCCGTCAAAGCGTGGTTCTAAAGTAATTGAATCAGCCAGAGTGCACTTTGACAGAAGGAACAGAGGTTATTTTGAAGACCAAACGACTACGGCAACTTGCGCCACAACTGTAAGTGAATCACACACAGAATTCTAGTGCGATAGTAATAGAGAAGATATTTCGGCTTGTCAACTGAAATTCTAAAGTAATTAAATAGGCATAAGTGAACATTTGACAAAAAGAAGAGAAAATGCAAATAGACTTCTCTGTAGCTTTGTGTTAAGACAAACAATTAGAAATATTTCGCAGAATACAAACATTTCTATTTAAATCTATGAATAAATTACTCCAACAATAGATTTTAAAAATAAAGTATTACAGCAAATTCACTTTTAAGAGAGGTCTTGTTGGTTATTCATTTCTAATAATGTTTCTTAAAACTTGGATTTAAATTTAGTTTTTATCTTAACGTTGTGATACTCTTCGACTTTACGTTTCTTGACATTCCATTTTAAATTCTAAAGAATATCCATAGTTATTTTGATAATTTCAAGGTGAATTCAGGTCTTCTATGCTCTTTTTTTTACTACCAGCTGGACCTCTAATGTGCTTCTCTTGTTATTATTCAGATGGAACGGAAATTGCTCATTAACCATTTATACATACGTGGATTTGTTTTTAAAGATTCATCGGAGTATAAAATATTAAACTGATTACAAGACACGGAAGAACAATTCCTGGCATGTTTTGATGTCACTCCTTCTTTCATTTTGCACGATATGAACGCATTAACACATTAATTCCCTCGTGGTGTTTTCAAAATCCTTTTACATCATTACTTTGCCTTACAACTTGAAATATAAGTTAGCATACTAAATTGTAAAAATAGTGTTAGCTCTTTTTTGCGTGTGATAAATAGGATAGAATGAGAAGAGAGAGAGTATCGTTATCTCGGGTTGCTTGTTTAAGCAGAGAAGAGTTACAGATTTAGTAGATTTGAACGTCAGCGTGGTTGCTGTGTTCCGTTATGTGTTCATCCCACTGTCTGTGTACTTATGTTAATAAAATATCCAAAAAAGAAGTAGAGGCATCGAGGAAAGAGTTACGTTTAGTCTTTATACTAACACAGTGACACTCTGTAATACAATAAGGGGGTTTGTGGAAAGTTTGCTAACTTTTAAAGTTTGTGAATTAAAGTATAGCAGTGAGTGAAATAAACTGGGAACTTGAGATTCATTGATGACCCTTGAATATAAACATTCGATGTACCTATATGTAAAAACCTGAAGCTAAAACGCATATTGAATAGTTGCCAACATCAAATCATCTATTTACATGATTACACATTTTATTTGTCATGTGTTTGAAGGAAAATTTCCCCCTAACCTAATATTTTTATTTCACTACAGTCACCAAACAATATATTTTTGAAACATTTGTTTCTTGTAACATCTTTGTCTAATTCGTTAAAACTTAGTGATCATTTAATATTAAGGGAATAAATAGTCTGGAATCTTTAGTATGTCCTCTGTAAAGCAAATAATCTATTTCTTTCTTAATTATTATTATTTCTTTTTCCACATAATATTAATCACAAGGATTGAGAAATTGTCGTGAATGAGGATCATATACGCGCGTCTTTATCAAATAAACTGTAATTGTTACTCATCAATAACATTTTGACATACAGGGCTTATTTGAAGGTTTTAGTTATAGACATTTAAAAAACAGCAATGCCCTAGTCTTTATTCGTTGTTCAGTCAATGACAAGATAAATAAAATTGTTAATTAAAAAAGGGGGAAAAGGGATCGTCAAAAAGAATAGAAACAAGTTGAATCAAAATGCAAGGATTACATTTTCAAGTTAACAATTAGGAACTCAAAAAAAAGTAAACAAATTAGGCTGGAAATAGTATCTACATTATTTTTTCAAGCTACAAATCTCTATTTTGACTCCATGTCTACAGTACTTATCAACTTTTTAAATAGGTCATGGACATTCGTAGTGTTTCATATAGTATATCTGTTTAGGCTTTGGTGCAGAATACTCAGCAAATCAGGAGTTTTTCTAATTTGCAGTTGATCACAAATTGTGTACCTGCAAAAATATTTGTGCAGTTGAAAGTTCACCTATATAAATAAGTTCAAGTGTGTAAATATAAAAGAAAAAGAAATTTAATATAAAATTCCATTCCAAAGTTGATAAGGCCCGGCATGGCCAGGTGGTTAGGGCACTCGACTCGCAATCTGAGGGTCGCTGGTTCGAATTTCCGTCCCACCAAACATGCTCGCACTTTCAGTCATGGGGGCGTTATAATGTGATGACCAATCCCACTATTCGTTGGTAAAAAGAGTAGCCC